GTCTCACTAATACAATATCTTTCTCCAGAAGCCACTGATTTACCAACAAGGGGTCGGTTTTGGTGTGGCCGANTGTGGTACGTTGGACACTTGTCCAGTAGGAACGTTCTAGCATTGTCGCTAGAGGTCGGGCTTACGGGTCATTGTCGTGTTCGGTACATTGCTTTGTGTTCCGAGTGTGCATCTATCCGGAGGAGACGTTGGGAGCTGGGAGCATCACGCTCGCCCCCTGTCCTCACTCCACTCTCCGACCTGTCTCTCCATACCTGGGTCTCACTAATACAATATCTTTCTCCAGAAGCCACTGATTTACCAACAAGGGGTCGGTTTTGGTGTGGCCGAGCACTCCGTCAAAGCGTTGCAGATGGCGCTTTCTAGCGACTCTCTGGGGGGGAGTTGGACAAGGATGGAAAGCTACCTGGCTACGGGGTCTCCTTCAGCTTCAAGTGGGAACGTTCGTTTGGTGATTTCGGGCACTTCTACGACGGCCAGAGAGTAGGTCTTTGGCTAGGCCCAGACAGGCCGCACGAGGGCAACCACCAAGGGCCCTGCCAAATGAAGTATGGCGGAGTGTCCCGGTGCCCGCAGCTCACGGGTGTCAACTGCAACGTTCACGAACAAAACCACTCGAAGAAGACCGAGCACCTACCCAGCGTCAGCGGCATGGGGTTCGACACATTCACTTTTAACATCACCTTGATCAACGAGTTGGAAAATGTAAAAATCAACCGCAAAACATGCAGCGTGGCAGTCTCAAGTGCCACCGAACACCCCCACGAACGTCTGCATGCCTGCCGTAAGGAAGTGTCGACTTGCGGTCGCTGCTTCTGCAGCAAGCCTCTTATGAGGTCGTTCGACCAGTTCGGTAAATTGCGCATCACGCACATGTAGCGGGTTGTGGGTAGAACGGTGTGGTAGCATCAGTAGTCCATGGGGGATGCCGATTGTTGCTTCCTGTCCATTAAGTCGTTAGGTGTTGTGTACTCTCATGTGTTTTGCGATGGACGAATCCCGTTAACATGCATTTCAAGGATGTAAGTCGTAAAATATGAGAGGGGTTGTTGCAAGGTCCCTGGGGAANCCTGTCCATTAAGTCGTTTGGTGTTGTGTACTCTCATGTGTTTGCGATAGACGAATCCCGTTAACATGTATTTCAAGAATGTAGGTCGTAAAATAGAGAGGGGGTGTTGCAAGATCCCTGGGGAGGTGTACATCACACGGCGCGGTCTCACCGGCGGGGAATGATTGCCTTGAATCATGGAATGGTTAGTGTCACCTTGTACCCAGACCTAATTCAAATGGTGTATGGTGTATTCGCTCCATTGCTGCCTACCTAGGGTGGCGCCAACACGATATAATAGAAAGCCGGATTTAAGAGAGTGAAATTGGCTTGTACCGACCCTCTCTTGAACCGTAGCCGCTACTGTAACATTTTTTTTTCAAAATATATTTCACTGGTGATGCTCGGACCATGTTGTACTCAAATACCACCATTAAACAGCGGCGTTTTCGTGGCACGTTCAGACGTTTCGGGCATGGTTCTCTCTCTCGCCTCCTCTCTCTACCTCTCTCCACCGCTCTCACTATCGTATGCTACAGCAGTGTACACTAGACTGAGGTTGCATCAGATACACCTCCTCTGAACCGATTTCCAAGGCTCGATTGCTCCACGTCAAAGAGGGAGCAGAGTTCAAATGATACGGTTTCGGAAAGCTCTTCATCAGACGGTTCCAACGAGACAGTTCAAACGCGGCCATGTTCGGCTCATGTTCGGCACCTTCAATGCTTTTCCTGCCGGTAATCGAGCTTTCAATCGGGCCAGGGGATGTGGTATCTGATGCAACCTGCACAGCCATACGCGGGAGACGCTGTACAAGGAAAGCCGGTATTTCTCTCTCTCTATTTTTCTCTCTTTCTCCATCCTTTGTCACGGGCTAGCAGGCCGATCACGACGTCTTTGACGCCGATCCGACGGTCGACGCTCGGTACAAATCGGGGCGAGAGCCTTGTGTGATGGGCTGACTCGGTGGATCAGGATGGGTACTGCTGGCTGCTGGTGCTGTTGTTGTGTGAGCAAATTTCGACGATGTACAACTGCCGTTTTCCGGAATGAGACAACGCACACTACAAAGAGGGATACAACGGAGAAGCACCGGAGAGAGCAGAGAGAAAAAGAGCATGCGCAGAGGAGCGGAGAAGCGAGAAGACTCCACTCCTCCGGTAATCTTGTCATCTGCAGCCAGCTCTGCCAGCCAGCTCAGCTCTGCAGTCCTGAGCAGTCCTGGCCAGGTGCTAGGTTCCCATTCTGAACCCCTTTGTCTACCTAGAAGCTTCCTAGAACTTTATTTTCTCCTCAAGGGCTAATAAGTACCACTCGTCCACCGTCCACAGACAGGCACGAGTTGGGCCGCTTCTCGTCCAAACTAGACATCGATTTCCGTCTGCCGGCCCTCGGTACTCGTAAAGGCACCTGCTGTCTGTAGTTCACTGTAGCCTTGATATCTTCGACCGGGCGCGGGTCTTGTCTTATATCTCTTGATTTGCCTGTCGTCGGTTGGCCCCGTCGCGTGCACACGCACATTTACACACATCTTGTTTCTAGTGAATCAATCGTGGAGTTTGCGGAGAACCGTAGTCTACAGGTGGAAGTTGCACGGACAACCCGGAACCGAGCGGACCCGGACCAGCCGCCAAAAAAAGTCTCAACTTTTTTTTTTTTTTCTTAATATGACACAACGAGTCCATCTCTATCATTGATAGAGTCAGAGACAGATGAACAATTTTCGTTTTGTACGATGTTGCACAACGCACTCATTCATCTAAATCTCCACAGCTAGCTATTGTACAGCTCCTGTAGATACGAAGAGTCCGGGACATATTATTAGCAATGAATCCATAGTCTAGACTAGAGAACTTTGGCAGGCACACTACTACTACTGCTGTACCTCCTCTGTGCTTCTACGATTCCCCGAGCGGCATACAACAGAGAGAGAGTCCGAACCGACCGCGACCGACAAATGAACGATGGCAATCCATTCAGCCTTAGCCTTGCAGTATACTTCGAAGTATGTGTATCTCTGTGCGTTCATTCGCGGAGATTTCTGTAACTGTATCCGCAGAAACGAATGGTTTTTCGTACTCAAATTTTTTGGCATGCATTGGGTCCAGCACATCAAGGAACCACAAGATGGGTCCAGCACATCAAGGAACCACAAGATGGGGCACATCATCGCGCTCGACGTCGTTCTGATGAGCATGCTGGTAGGGTTTACCCTCACGGCTCTCAGCCATATCAGCGCCGCGTGGAGATTAAGGAAAGACTTCTTCTTCTCTGTGAGGTACGACATAGAGAGAGAAGGTAACCGTGACCATCGACGAATCGATGTCTGTCTGAGATGCGCACGAACCTCGCGATATGCTGGGAATATCACACGCACCAATACAGGTTGGATAGCATCTTCCTACATCAATTACTGGTGACAGGTTAGCTGCAATAGTTTCGACGGTGGTGACAAAATCCACTGCTACTGCTGTGGCTGCATTTGAGGAGTCGCGGGTCGCGTCGCATCAGTCTACACTGTAACGCTAGTAGTATGCCCTGTATCCGCTGTTGTCGCGGGCAACGAACAACCGCAGTGGGTCCACGGTAAGCGTCCTTGTCAACCCGAGGGATGTTTCGTTTACAGCACGTACCTTCCTTTGCTCTACCAGCTGTTGCGTAAGACCTACCTACCGACCGGCCTGGGTGTCCTTATTTCTGTATTGCCCACGATCGAATCAATTATGGAGCAGGTCCCCACTCCTGGCGACGACGTCGGGCCTCGTCGGTGTGGTTCTTGGAGCCTTCGCGGTGGCGCGTCTCATCGTGATCCCTGATAAACTCGTGGTGCACTCCATTTCGTTGATAATCTTCGTGCCCTTGATGGAGCTCGGGTTCCTTGGGCCCTACGTGATGCGGGGTATCCGGCTCCTCGTCATGTACAACCCTGCTACCCGGACGCACTGGGGACGATTCTTTACCAGTGAACTCGCCGTGGTCAAGATATTGCTGGTTGCCTTCGGAATTGTCGAGGTCATCGCCTGGTCCGCGGTACTGCTCTTTGGCCTGGAAACGTGAGAAAAAGGGCGTATCATACCTGCCTTTTCTTCGTCCGTTGTCGATGATGTACGCAAGACAAATTTGGCCCCTATTCGACCGTCTTCCCGCCCCAACTTTCTACTGCGAAGCAGCTGCCGGTCGGATGGTGCACAGCAACTGAAGCAGCTGCGCAGTCTTAACGATTGAAGGTGCTCTGTGCTGAGGGAGTTGATCCTTTTCAAAACCCCTTTGAGACAATATTGTTTGATCCATGTTTTACTCACTAAACGTGGTTGGTGGTTGGTGGGTAGCAACAAAGGTGGGGGGGAAGGAGGTTCAACAAAAATAGAACGGACCACTGGGTACTTCTAGGTATCTCGGTAATGTTACATTGCGTGTGTTCTGGTGTAGCAACAGCCACGCGCTTTGTTTTGGTAATTGTTCGCTCGCATCAGCAGCCAAGAGCGCATAGGGATACGCAGGCTGCCGTTTTCCACGACCGATGTTCCCGTCACTACGAGGTCGCAAGACGATGACACTCGGGAGACCTCGACTCTTGTTGTAGGGGTTCCTAGGTCACACTTTCAGTGCTATTTGTAACGGCGGCTTGACGCTCGGCAAATACGAGAATACGAGGACCCGACGACCGCGAAGTCGATGGATGTGGGCTTGGGTATGCCTCACAGGTTCCCACAATAACTGGCGGGACCCTCGTTGTTCCGCCCAAACACGTGATTCTCATTGCGGCCAAAAGTGAGCGAATAGAAACAAACCCAAAAGCTGACAGCAATCAAGCGTGCGAGCTACTAAGTAAGACGGCCAGTCCATGCAACGCTAGTTGTAGCAGCAGCAGAGCGCTCGGGTAAATGCGATGATTCGACCAACTGCGAAGGAGATCGATGAGGGCTAGGGTATGCCTCAATGGATATCTGAATTTCACAGTACCCCATAGTTGAGCCTCCCCCCAAAACTGATGAACCCTAACCGGTGGATATCGAGGCTAAAATAAAGGTAACCGACCACCTTAGTCTAATTCTACTGTGACATAGTGCTGAATTCCGGTGGCGGAGTTGTCTATAATTTCTTCTTAGATTATGGGATCTAGGTAACCATATTTTGGCGTTCGAATAGGTTCTTGACCCCGTTTACATGAGCTTCAACTGCCTGCCTAGTGGAACCCTGGTTGGTCGGTTTCAGGCTACAGTATCGTAAAAAAAGGGCGTAGCTGCTTAGCTGCAATTATACTTACATGATGCATTCCCTGATGCACTCCCTGTCGCCGAGAATCAAGAAAGGAAACACGGATTTCACGCCGCCTGTGCGAACCTGAGGCATCACCGAGTCAGAGTCCCGTGAATAGGTGCTTCAACTGTCCGCCAGCGGAACGTCCTTTTCTCCTTGAAATATGGCGAGGAATGCAAAGCGTGGGTGAACGTACTTGAATTAGATAGGCAGGCTGAAGGAAGGTGGAAGATGAGAGGGTGCCGTCGTGGGCACACTTCGTCTCCAAGATCCATCCTACATGTAGTGCTGGAAGCATTCGGTGGACCGTTTTTGTAGCAACCGTCGGACCAGCGGATTATTGTCCGTTGTCCGCCTGGTCTCCGGATACTCCTATGCCTGTGCGAACGAGGAACAGGCTTCTATCTTGATTACTTCCACACATCTTTACAGAGTAAAGTGTCTTCCACTGTTGTCGTGCTTCGTTCTTAAGCTCCTCGTAGGCTGAACCTCGGTGTGCAAAGTCCTTCCCCCTTGGAACTCAATGGTGTTGCATTGCCTCAATAGCGAACGAATGCTCACCGGGAGGCCTTGCATCGTGTGACGCCATGTGAGCTATCTGCCCCCTCTCGTAAAAAGTGGACGGCCCGTGTTGAATCGAGGCTTAAAACCGATGGAGGCAAATACAGCGTGTTGAGGCAAACAGCACTGTCACTACGGAGTCACTGCAACGATCCTCTCAGCTGTAGGTACAGATAAGCTGGTATGATGCGAAATCAGATAGGCAGACACACAAAGAGTGGTTTTATTACCCACGCACAGACGCCCAATCTATCTTCACCTGACGGTTGCAGACTTGGCAACGCCTTTACATCAGTACTGCATCATACCTATGCAGTACAATGGCGTCATTCTTGTACCCCGAGTACTCCAAACCGTGTGTATGCTCGCTCGAACCGCTCGAACACGCCGACTGAACGCAAGGCTTGATGACAAACAATCTGGCTCTTCTCCTGCACAACATCTTGACAATCGTTCACCTTCACAGGGTCGCGAACGTCATGATGGGGGGGCTTATCCTCGACTTACTCTTCACCGTGGGCGCAACCTTCGCGCTGTTTGGCAAGCTGCGGCTGATTGAGGATATATTTGACGTGTCCTTGGAGATACGTAGAGTTGGGACTCTCGTCTTGCTCACCCTGGGTAAGCAGGTCCATTTAACAGGGTTGGGAATCTTCCTTCTAAGAATCTGGAAACCGCCTTGCGCGTAAATATCGTCATCTGCTTCTTGTCGTCAGAACAGTTCTCAGAGCAGTCCTCGAGGTGCTCGGGTTGGTTATGTATCTTGCGCGTCGGGATTCGTAAGCAACGATCAATCCAGCGCGTGCCACCGTTTGTTGAAACACCTGGCAATACGAAAAGAGTTGTTGTCAAGTGGGGTACTTCACAATGCACAATGTGAAGATAAGCCGCCAAATGCTCGTTGTTTGGAAACAGATTCTGCAACCTTTGCGCGCATGGGTGAGTGCATGTCTGTGACGACCGGAAAACAGATGTACTTGTCGCTTTACTGCTGGCTTGGGGCGCCATGTGCGCTTCCGGCGACGATTTAATTAATGATAATGCTGTCGTGCCGATGCTACGTTCGTCGAACCCCCGCCGTTTCTCCAAAACGAACAATCCGACAGCGATGTCATTGTTCGTAGAATGGATCCCGATCAAGGCCCAACTGTACTACTTTGTTCTGCTGACTGTGGCCAGATTCCATGCTGCCGTGTGGATCACGTGAGTATTGAACAGCTGCATTTTTTTTTCCCACTTTTTCTTCCTCGGCTTCAAGTGTCAGGAAAAATCGTGCGTCGAGACCACCAGTAGTCGGACACGGTTTGAATTTTGAATGCGATTACAGCAACTAGTCTGCGTAGCAGTAGATAATAAGCTATCTCTCCGTGGCATGTATTCTCTTGTTCTAGAAATATTCCTACAGCATGCTAGGTCAAGTTCGACCGGGACATCTACGTAGAACGTGTGTAGTTTCTGGAAACCTTCTGGAACCTTCTGGAACCTCCTGGAAGCATTCTAGACCTAGGTTGCACTTGATACTTTTATAGAACGTAGGAGGGCTTCCAGAATCATTCTGGAAGCATTCTAAATATTTCGTGTGATTGGCTTATTTGCCCGATATTCGAGGAGAGTGGTGCAGCCCTAAGCTCGTCACCTCCTCTTCAGTACCAGCAACATCAATCTGACTCGGAAGTCAGCAATTAATGAAAACATCTTTATATTTCCATTCCAAGTCTGTCGCGGTTGGAGCCGCACAGTGAACCTCTGAGGTAGGCCACACAGCCTCCTGACATCTGCAGCATCGTACTGCTGCTAGTGCACAGCGAAATTACGCTGACATCAAGTAGGCTTGACCCCAAACGAACGTGGGGGTACATGGACAACACGAGCAGGGTCGTGCGAGCGGGACCTCCGACTATCTCGCTGTGATTCACTGCCGGTTATAGTGCAAAAACACTGGGTGGCGTTTTAACTCGAACACACAGAGAGGACCTATCGGGTTTCATTAGACGTAACAGGGAAGACGTGCGAACTCAGTATCACACAATCATCTCGCAATGCATGCACGCCGGCTGACGAGAGGCATATACGTGTGTGGAGTTCACCATGCCTGCAAAAACGCAGTCTTCTACATCGACACGCGTATTACATGTAGAGGAGCAAATTTTTACGTACGTACAGAAAGCGACGTGTGGTGTACATTGTGCAGGTTTCGGGGGGGTGTCATTCTAAAAGAGGGTGTCGTTCCTAGCTGTGGTGGTGCGAGGATGCCGTGCATACGACCCTCACCTAAGTACTTGGCGACAGATTCTCACCTGGTGCATCCTACTTTTACTACAGTGCAGTGATGTCAATTCTATGTTGCGGTAAGGTTTCCTTCATCCAAGAGATTTGGTGTGATTATGGCCGCCATAGATAGATGACGAATTATTATATCATATAAAATATTGTTGAGTGTCTCGTGACTGGTATGCCAGCATGAAGTACATGTCTAGCACAGAAGAGGCTGCCTGCTTGAACAAAAATCCATGTTCCATGTCGAACGCAGCAATATCCAGTCGATAAGGGCATCAGTACTACCGCGAAGGAGGCGAAACAACTACAACAACGGAGGCATCATTGCGTCACTCCTGCCGTACATCCCGTGGAGAGAAGACGCCAGCATCGTCGCGGTCGATGCGGTGGGACGCAGGTTCACTTCAAGAGGTGTCTCATTGGGTAACATCAACCGCAGCGTCAAGTTGGATGATGCGTTGGAGCAAATTTTATGCTTTACCCCGCTGCTGGAGGCGTTTGAAGAGTTTTGCCAGAAGGCCCTCTGCATCGAGGTACGACCAGGTTCTTCACCTCGTGCATCGGATGGTTCGTTGGTACAACCATTTTCTACACACGATGGTGGATCCAAAAAAGTTCCATATTCTTTGTCAGTTCGGAGAGTGAGCGAGTATTGTCACACAACGAAGTCCGCATGTGAGGTACACGCAGGTCCGGGATGAACCGAAACAAAGATATCATAATGGTGGTCGAGTAGATCATGTTGTGTGGGGTCGAGAAGCCTCACTCCGCGCAAGGGGGATGATCATACCACGTTGTGTTAAAATGGTCAAGCACCCTCGACGCAGTTACACCGTGCTTATAACTGTATCAGGAAGTGAAAGTACCAGAAAATTTAGTCATACGCAGCTGTCATCCGTACGCAAGGAAGTAAGCACAAGATGCCGAACACCCTTAGCAGGATGCAGCGCACCCTTCATGCGACTAGCCGAACACCTCACGGCGCTTCGCGCTTGGTGATGCGAGAGCCTGGTCCGGTGAGAACCCGGTGTGCTCTGTCCGGGCTTTGTAGGGATGCGCACGACTATGAGTACACCCCCCCCCCTGTGTGGCCTCCGTACCATTTACGACCTCGCTAATGTAGTCATTTTGTTCTACTCTCTGCTTGTCACATGAGGAAGACGACAAGTCATCATATTCAACGTTCGTTTAGGTTTTGTGGATCCCCCCCCCTCTCACTTTTGCTCTCCCAATGCCCCTCTCCCCAACTTTTCGCGACCGATGATCTATCACCGCGACGATGCGATGCGATGTCATCGTACAGTCACTCATGTTCTTGAAGGCGGTTATGGGATTCAGGGGTTCCGTTCATGCATCGACCGCCAGTGACGACGGCAATTTCACACTGTTGACGGATATCGTCCAAAAGTACGTCCAGAGCGGGTCTCCGTTTGAGGTCAACATCGACAGCAAGACCAAGAGCAATATTCTGGTAAAGATCACAAGGGAAACCTTCATGCGACTTCCTCAGGTACGTCCATGGGTCGGTGGTGGTTACGGGAAGTTCATAATAGGTGATGGGTGTACGCGAACTCTAGCGGTAGATGAGGTCTGTACTACGCGTCAACGAACGTGCTACACATACCTCAAAGCTTTCTTCATCTGTATTAACGTCATGAACCCTACCGCCGCCTTTGTTCGCGACAATAGAGGGTTTCGGAACAAGGGTTAGATTTAAGAATAAAACTTCTCGATTTTGGTGGAACGAACGTTCTCGGAGCTTAATTTTGTGGAGACGACTGAGTTAAACGCGACAAGAAAACACGCCGGCGCGGAAAGGCTGCAGAAAAAAAAAGGACAGCAAGCAGCTGCTGTGCTGCATCGAAACATCACATCACACTTCGGCAGGCGCGGCGGTGTGCAGGTTGATGAGGATGACACAGACCACGCATGCACGCATGCATGCATGTAGTTGAGGGGCTGCACTAGACCACCAGTCGGTGCCATCTGTGAGGAGGGAGGTAATCAAGGAGCCTCACTTGTCTTTTTTGTTGCAGTGTGCGAACGAGAGACAGATCCTTTTTCACAAGAAGAGAGGAGAGAGAGAGAGAGAGAGAGAGAGAGAGAGAGAGAGAGAGAGAGAGAGAGAGAGAGCATCCTCAGCAGCAGCAAACAAGAAAAGAGAGGAGACGCACACACTACACACACACACATACCCCATTTGGTCTAGGGGGTAGCCTCGCAGCCTGCTAAGGGCCAGGTCATGGGTTCGAGTCCCGACAGAGTGAGTTTTTTCTCGCTAATTCAATCCTGGTCTCCGTTGGAAGCGACGCGCTGGAAAGCTCTCGTTGTTAGTAAACCATAATCGATTTCGTAAGTCGCGAGGGAAGGGGTTGCTGTACCCTTCTNCCCTCCTATGTGACCCCGGTTGGGTCGTCTAGCTGGTAGAAGTGGAGGATAGGGGCCAGAGGGGCAGACGACAGAGTCCAATGATGGGAGAAAAACAAACAAAAAACAACCCCATTTATACATACACAGGTGGCCAGTGGGCACGGTTGCACGGGGGCGTTGTGTAAGCTCTGGCCAACCATGGGTTATTACATGGGATAACGTGAGGGGGTTACAGGTCGAGCGGGCATAAATAAAGTACCGGGTTATGAAAGAAAGCGGTCATGCGCGGATTGGTGTGAAAGAGGAGAAAAGAAAAATATATGTGTGAGCTTTCCCCTCCCTTGCTACATTGTGTTCCACTCTTCTCTGTGTTGGGTTTATTTACGCGATACATCCGCAAACAACTTTCCTCTCTTTCGAGATGATTGGTGAAGAAAACATAACGCGGGTTGGATCGACCCAGCAACATACCGTAAATGACACAATATAAGACACCTACACAATATAAGAAACCCCCCACAGTATACGACACCCCGGTGGTAATTTTGGGCGTCTCTGACAGACCATCGAATTATCACCGGGGGTACACAATATAAGAAAAAACACCTTCCGCACCCCTACCACGCAACCACATGTTCAAATACAGCACATACTGCTGTAGGATACACAGTAAGAATATATTAATATATNGTCCTACGTGCAGCATCCAGACCCCCACCTTCGCACGCACGACAGAAAAACACCTTCCGCACCCCTACCACGCAACCACATGTTCAAATACAGCACATACTGCTGTAGGATACACAGTAAGAATATATTATTAATATATTTATCTGTATGCATAGGTTGCTGTACGTATGTCACGTACGTGCGGAGTAATCGTAAGTGCGGAGTAATTGATACCGGTTGGATATGTGACGTAAAACATGATGAGAAGTTCGGAACATGCTTTCCAGCGAGGAGTCTAAGCGAAGGGTTTATGCGTACAGTCCTACAGTCAGTATTTATGCGAGAGNAGTACTACAGTCAGTATTTATGCGAGGAGAAGTTCAGGAATAATTTGGGGTTGGCAAAGCGATGCCCACATCGCCCACTCCCAACTTCGCCCACCCTCTGATTCACAGCCCTGGCAGCAGCTGCGGTATGTTTGTGCGAAGCAACAAGTAAACACAGCAGTAAAGGGTATACCATGCCGTGTGCGGCTGGTGAGCGGTATCTTTTGCAAGGACGGACGCCGGTAGCCCCTGACGGTCACGAATATGCCTTCTATACTTGATGGTTCATTTTCGTCGAAGCTTGGGACTCTATTTTTTTTTGTCATGCATGTGTTAGCTTGTGTAAGATTGTAGTCGGGAGTGGGGGGGGCTGGATAGAACCGAACTTGTTATATGTGACGAAAGCAAAAAAATTCATGGCATTGTTTGGTGTGTTGTTGGTGTAATGGTTTTGGAGTAAGACATAGT